CTCCTTTCCCTTCCCCCCCCCTCTGGGACTTCACTGGTCACACCTGGGTTTTGGTTCTCTTGGTGTCACACCCCCTGGGACCCCTTACTGGTCCAGGTAATCTTTTGTCTTCACCTGAGACAAGCCCCTCAAGACCTCCTATTGGTCTGCATTGTATTCCAATGTTTATATCCATCTGCGCACATCACCTTGACCGTGTGTCACTCTGAGGAAGCCTACAGTAGAGATGCACCCCCAAACCCAGTTTGGGTCCCCTTTCCAGGAAAGGACCCTTGCAGAACTGCATAGGTATAAGTATTACCCAACCTCCCCACTCCTCTGTCTGCTGACTTTTTTGTTTCTTCTTGTATGCTTGCAATCCTTGATTTGAGTGTAAATAACTAAATTATTGGTTTTCTTAATAAAACCCATTTCTCTTTACATTTTGGACTGGTTATTGACTCAACTAAGGCAGTGATAGATAGACAGATAGACAGATTCAACTAAGGGTCTTAAGGGGACTATCTCTGTGAACATTGATAGCAGATTCTCACTATTGCCCCACCTCTCACTTAGCTCTGTCTTTGACGCTAATTCCCGCATTCAAACCAAAGGCAAGAATATTATTTAATAAAGCTGGTAGGGGTAACAGTACTACTGGGCTCTTGCTCTTTTCTACTGCTACAGACAAACTAACATGGCTACCCATCTTGATCAACCTCAGAACACGATTATGTTTCAGGTGAACAGCATCACTTATGGTAGTAGTGGTAATACTCAAATTTGGGACATGAATGATCTTGGGTAAGGCTTGTACAGCTCCAGCTATAGCTGAATGCTTAACACTTGCTGCCCACTCAACAGGTCAAAGCAGCAAACCACCACTACAACAGGAACTATTACCACAAATAATAACTTACCACAGAAAGTCGTAGATAATTATAGGTAAACACCAGGGCCCAGGTATACTCCCCAAGTAAACTCCTACCATACGTACAAGAAACAGTCTGCCAATACAAAAATGTACATGTTGCTGTATCTATCTCTGTGATTTTCAATATGAATATACTGCAGGTGTTTCCTGATCAGAGAGAAATACTACACCTACAATGTTCTGAAAATACACTAAAGATATCAGTCTTCATTTTACCTTTATCACAGATATGCCTGAACTCAGCATTCTTAAAGTATTAGACAAGTTTGTTGTTGTTGTTCAGTCGCAGTAGAGTCTGATTCTTCGCAACCCCATGGACCACATCATGCCAGGTCCTCTTGTCTTCCGTCATCCTCTGGAGTTTGGTTAATTTCATGTTTGTTGCATCGATAACAGTCTCATCCTTTGCCGTCCCCTTCAATCTTTCCCAGCATCAGGGTCTTCTCCAGTGAGTGCTCCCTACACATTTGGTGGCCAAAGTATTTGAGCTTCATCTTCAGTATCTGGCCTTCCAGGGAACAGTCAGGGTTGATTTATTTTAGGATTGACTGATTTGATCTTCTTGCAGTCCAGGGGACTCTCAAGAGTCTTCTCCAGCGCCATCATTCAAATGAATCTATTCTTTCGTGCTTGGCCTTCCTTATAGTCCAACTCTCGCAGCCATACAGTACTACTGGGAATACCATTGCTTTGACCATACGGACTTTTGTTGGCAGGGTGATGTCTCTACTTTTTATTATGCTGTCGAGGTTTGCCATCGGTTTCCTCCCAAGGAGCAGGTGTCTTTTAATTTCATGGCTTCAGTCACCATCTGCAGTGATCTTGGATCCCAGGAACGTGAAGTCTGTCACTGCTTCCATGACTTCCCCTTCTATTTGCCAAGGAGTGATGGGGCCGGATGCCATATCTTAGTTTTTTGATGTTGAGTTTCAAGCCAACTTTTGCACTCTCCTCTTTTACCCTGAGGAAGAGGCTCTTTAGGTCCTCTTCACTTTCTGCCATTAGAGTGGTATCGTCTCCATATCCGAGGTTGTTGATGTTTTTCCCGGCAATCTTAATTTTGGCTTGTGATTCATCCAAGCCGGCATTTCACATGATGTACTCTGCATATAAATTAAATAAGCAGGGTGACAATATACATCCTTGTTGTACTCCTTTCCAATGCTAAACCAATCAGTTGTTCCATTTCCGGTTGTCACTTCTTGACCCATACACAGGTTTCTCAGGAAACATGTGAGGTGGTCTGGTACTCCCATCTCTTTAAGGACTTGCCACAGTTTGTTGTGATCCACACAATCAAAGGCTTTAGCATAGTCAATGAAGCAGAAATAGATGTTTTTCTGGTTTGTAAGCCGCTCTGAGACTCCAAGTGAAGGGTGGGGTATAAATCCAATCTCTTCTCTTCCTCTTCTTCTTCTTCTCTTCTACTCCCTTCCTTTCTCCATAATCCAGCGAATGTTGGCAATTTGATCTCTAGTTCCTCTACTTCTTCGAAACCCAGCTTGCTCCTGGCAGTTCTCTATCCATGTACTGCTGAAGCCTAGCTTGTAGGATCTTGAGCATGACCTTGGTAGCATGTGAAATGAGTGCAATTGTGTGATAGTTTGAACATTCCATGGCATTGCCTTTCTTTGGGATCAGAATGTAAACTGACCTTTTCCAGTCCCATGGCCACTGTTGCGTTTTCCAAATTTGCTGGCATATTGAGTGCAGCACTTTAACAGCATCATCTTTTAGGACTTTGAATAGCTCAGCTGGGATACCATCACCTCCACTAGCTTTGTTGTTAGTAATGCTTTCTCAGGTACATTTGACTTCACACTCCAGGATGTCTGGCTCGAGGTGAGTGATCACACCGTCATGGTTGTCAAGGACATTGAGGTCCTTCTTGTATAGTTCTTCTGTGTATTCTTGCCACCTCTTCCTAATTTCCCTTGCTTCTGTTAGGTTCCTACCATTTTTGTCCTTTATCATGGCCAGCTTTGCAAGGAACGTTGCTTGATTTCTCCAGTTTTCTTGAACAGATCTCTAGTCCTTCCCATTCTATTGTTTTCCTTTGCATTGTTCATTCAAGAAAGCCTCCTTATCTCTCCTTGCTGTTCTCTGGAAATCTTTACCAATCTTTCCTTTTCACCTTGGCCTTTTGCTTTCCTTCTTTCCTCAGCTATTTGTAAAGCCTCATCAGACAGCCACTTTGCTTTCTTGCATTTCTTTTTCTTTGGGATGGTGCTGATTGCTGCTTCCTGTACAATGGCACGAACCTCTGTCCATAGTTATTCAGGCACTCTGTCTATCAAATCTAGTCCCTGAAACCTATTCTTCATCTCCACTATATATTCATAAGGGATGTGATCAATACTCCCTCTAAGCTGTGGAGCCTTATGAGCAAAAATTCTACTTTGTGAGCTACTGGAATTAAAGTTGTGAGTGAACAATTTGGCTACTCCATAAATTAGTTTGCTCTGGAGCCATCCTTCCTGAGCTAAGACAAAAATGTGTGAGCTGGAGGCTAAAATATTGTGAGCTAGATCACACTAACTCAGCTTAGAGGGAACACTGGATGCGATCTAGGTCAAACCTGAACAGCCTAGTGGTTTTCCCAACTTTCTTCAGTTTAAACCTGAATTTTGCAATGAGTAGCTCATTGGAGCCACAGTCAGCTCCAGTTCTTGTTTTTACTGACTGTATAGAACTTCTCCATCTTTGACTGCAAATGATATAATGATATGATATAAATTATATAATACATCTGATTAAATCAGATTTCTTATTTAAATCTGATTCAGAAATCTGATTTAATCAGATTTCTGATAGGCAAGTTTAATAATGTGCAAAAACCTAAATATGATGTTTGTGGACAATGTATAAGGTAGTGAATTAAGTTACACATTTTGAAAGGACTCGTTTCTTACTGTAGAATGGTCTCATTGAAACCAGTAGTCTTACTAGAAAACTACTCCACAATAAAAACTTTAAAAGGATATATTTTTATGGACTTAAGTATAACTTGTGAAGTGACTTGAATCAGCTGAAGTGACTTGACTGTATTCTCCCATAATAAAGAAGATTATTAAGGTAAGAGTATCTTTATCCTTTTATGTTCCTGCTTTGTATAGCCTTTTAAAATTATGTGACCAAGAACCACAACAGACTCTGCTAAAGAATTGCTGGAAAATTCCTCCTCCTTTTCTAAGAATATCCAACTCATCCTCCCCCCTCCATTTATTCCCTTGCACATTGCTATACTCGAGTCAACCTCCCTCCCTATTGTTTTTGCCTTTCCCCTTTCCAATCAAAGTCTTAATAGAAGGAGAGGGGAAATAAGTAACAGAAAGGGAACCGTCAGGCCTCCCCTCCCCGTCTCAAATAAGCGATAATTAATTGTATTTACTCATTAGTGTGAGAAAATGCAGCCTGGACATGCTCTAGAGCTCTATTTTCCTTTTGTCATTTTACATCTTTCAAGACTGGTACGTGACATTCGCAGCGACGGGAGGCGCAATGGTATAGCCCGATCTCGTCACATCTCAGAAGCTAGGCAAGGTCACTATTTGGAAGGGAAACCACCAAGGAAGGCTCTGCAGGGGGAGGCAATGGCAAACCACCTCTGCTTCTCACTTGCCTTGCAAGCGCCCTGCTGTGTCGGCATAAATCGGGTGCGACTTGGGCACTCTACACACACGTGACATTCAAACTCAGATTTTGCTGGGACTGAAAACCTTACGTCCCCGTTTGGAACATACTGTTCTCCCGCCAAGTACCCTACTTTGAGCGCCGTAACCTACGTTGCCTTGACACCTTTGCGGAAATACGCCAGTAATTCCAACACCCCCCCGCGGCCCCATTACCACCGCAACCAGACCCGGCTGAAAACACACAACGGCATAACTCGAGGCAATAAACCGGAACTAGATTACTGAGGGGAGGGAAAGAAAAAATAGGCTCTCTCATCACGTGAGAGGAAATCCTGCCGTTTCCGCCTCTGGCTAGCCAATTAAAACGCACTAGGCCGTGGGTCGGTTAAAGAGTTTAAATCTCCCGGGGCTCCGTTTAAGGAACTGTAAAATTGTGGGTGGTTTGGCTGGAGTCCGTCAGAGCAGGCTGCAGAAAGAAGTCGCCTCCGATTCGGTGACGATATGGGCGGCCCAGAAGAAACAGGTGGGCGGGGGTGTCTCGTGGCGGGTGAGACTGGGTCGTCCCCCTCCCTTTTTGAGCTTAGCTAAGTGAGGGTCTCCTTTTTCTAGCTATGTTCCACTTGTTCCGCTTTGCCTCTTCCGTGATTCCTAGTACCAATGCAGGGGATGAGTGTCTGACGTAATGTGTATGTACTAAAACCCTAGGCTTCCTTAACACTTTTAATGCAATGTTGAATTTTTCCATCTTTCCTTTCCCCCAAAAAAGCTTCCGTTTAAGTGGTCAGCCATTATACATGAAAGTCCCTTTTAGTTCATTTGGTTTCTTGTGTCGCGTACTAATTGTTCTGGTTTGCGTTTTAGTGTAGTCTCAAATCTTTTTTCTTGAATTCTTAATCTCTAAAGTGAAGCAAACAGTTGGACTGTCCATCTTGGGCTCTTTTGCAGGCCTCTTGTCTAGTTGGACTGTCCATCTTGGGCTCTTTTGCAGGCCTCTTGTCTATTGTCCCTCTTTAAATGGAGTTAATTAGGGTCAATTTAAGTTGGAGTAGATTGCATTCCTCTTGTAATTTCTGTAGCTAGAGAACAGTGGTGCAAAATGTCATGACAATATCAATTTGATACATTTTCATATGTCAAGTTAATACTATGGGCTAATTGAAATCTGAAAATGGGAAGAATTTTTTTTTAATGGAAGGCTTGGACAGATGAGGAGCTGCGGTGGCTCAAGTGGTTAAAACGCTGAACTGCAGGCTGTGGAAGGTCAGTAGTTCGGCAGTTCGAGACCCAGGGGTGCCGTCTGACCGCGTGAGCTCCCGTCTCTAGTTCTAGCTCCTGCCAACCTAGCAGTTCGAAAGCAAGAAATTGCAAGTAGATAAATAGGTACCACTTCAGTGGGAAGGTAACAGCATTCTGTGCGCCTTGGTGTTTAGTCATGCCGGCCACATGACCACGGAAACGTCTTTGGACAGCGCTGGCTCTTCGGCTTTGAAACGGAGATCAGCACCGCAACCCTAGAGTCGGATTTGACTGGCTTTCGAGCAAGGGAACCTTTACCTTACCTATACAGATGGGGGATTTTTATATTGGACCAATTGGTAGACTGTGATGAGTTTTTGTCATTTTCTCAGCTGAGGTCTAGATATGATTGTCAATTTCTGTTGAATGTTAATATTTACAATTGCAACATCTGCTGGTATCTAAATATGGCCCTACAGCATTAAGTGTCTCAGAGTCCCTTTTGCTCCTGGATACTCTAATTGAATTGATGCAGAAGATGAAACTTTCAATATTTGTCTAAATATTTGTAGTACTTTTACAATTTCCATTATTTGTTTTCATACAGGCTAATACATATCATATGATAATTTTCATGAAGGCAAAAATGAAGTCAAGCAGTAGTAATAATTATATAATTAGTCCTCTATATAATCAACAATTGTGGGAGATGTACTAAAAGGAAGGACAGGATTGCCCATTGGAAACAATGGGAGAGACTTGAAGGCCCATTGGAAATAATGGGAGCCAGGAATGCCAATTGACTTGCATGGGCTCCATTGAAATGCATTACAGCTCAAGAAGAGTTCCAAAGAAAATGCAGAATGGATTTTCCAGTAAGGTCTCTGGTCCCAAATACACTGCTCTGGGACTGGAATGACAGGCCCCAGAGTGGAATGACAGCCCCTGGGGGTAGCAGATGTATCCTGGGACTGGAATGACAGGCTCCAGAGTGGAATGACAGCCCCTTGTGGTAGCAGGAGTGTCTTGGGACTGGAATGACAGGCCCCAGAGGAAGCTAGTTTCAGATACCATATCCATTTTGGTTCTGATAGTAAGACAGGTAGATAAGAGGAGACATCATCTGGATGATGACCTTTGTAGCATTCTCAGTAATTTTGGGTTGAGTCTGTTTTCCCCTTTTCCCTTTGTTTGTTATGCTGACTTTTGACAAAAAATCTTGGATGTCTAGTTCACTTGGATTGCCTGAAGTATGTAGATCCTCATAATAATCCTTAAATTGATGCACAATATCTTCTGACCTAATAAATTGCTGATTATTCACTACTATTCTTGCTATATTATTCTTCTTTTGCTCATTTTTCTGTAGTTTAGTGGAAACTTTTGAGTGCTTGTTCCCGAATTCAAACTGCTATTGCCTGATATATCTCATCATTCTTTCTAACTTTGCAGACCTCTGCATTTCTAACTGCAACCTAAGATATAACAGCCTTGTACTTGATCTGAAAGATATCCTTTATGTTCCACCTCAGGATCTCCAGTCTGCCATACTAACTGATTCTCTTTGTCTCTATTCTGTCTATAGATTTCTAACTTTTTTTTTTAAAGCACCCTCTTATATAAGCTTTGAAAGTGTCCTAGACAATAGGCTAACTGACTGGGGAGGGAATACTGAATTCCAAAAAATCTTGAATTTCTTTACCCACATCAACTTGAACCTCTGCCCAGTTCAATAACCATGCTACTAGACTCCAACTTCTCTAATACTTGCCTTGCGATCATATGACCAGGAGATGGTCACAGGTGCATGGACAGCGAAAATCATGGGACCTATAACCACATCATGGATCTGGGGCATAATTTCTGTTGAGACAATATAGAAGTCTAGTCTCGAACATGTTTATGTGGTGTGGAATAAAATGTGTAGTCTTTGCCACGAATGGACAAGCCTCCGAACTTCAAATGTATTTCTTTGATTCCACACAGAAAGGCTTTAGGCAAAGATCTTGTAGTTTGATTATTAGATGACCTATTGAGTTTTGCATCTGGAACACCATCTCCTCCTCATATAATCTCTTCTTCCAAAAAGTTTTCTAGTTTTAGTTTTCTAGTTGTTCCATCAATAATCTAAAAAAATTAGACTAATTTTGATGAGGTTCATATACATTCACAAAAATATAGAAGTTGTTTGCCACCTGACATTTCAACATTAAATGTCTACCATTTGGGTCCTCAGTCTTCTCCTTAACCACAGTATTACGGTTTCTCAGAATAATTGCCACCCCTGCCTTCTTAACATTATTACATGCCTTAAATGTCCTAACAAGATTCATTGGGAAAAAAATCTGGTTGCCTTTTTTATATGAGTTTCTTGAAGGAAAAATACAGCTGCTTTCTCTCTCTCAATCAAGCACATAGCTTTATTTCGCTTGACAGGTGAACTAAGTCCTTTAATATTTATTGTACTACTAATAAAATTGCTCATCTTTATTTAGTAAATATACAGTTACCTGTAATATAATGTAATACCAAATATTACAACTTATATACTTCAGATACTTGAGGAACCATCTCCTCTAAACCTTTAAGATGCTGCTGTGCTTTCTCTATGGTATGAAATAAAGTAAAGGTAAAGGTTTCCCTTGCTCGAAAGCCAGTCGGATCCTATTAAAAAAACATTTACACCAAAGGGAATACCCCAACTAGATTGAATTCTTAAAGATCTTAATTTACTAGTTAAAAACTGAAAATGACGCCTTTTGGACAGAGTGTCAGGAAGGTCATTTAGAATCTGTAATTCATGACTGTCTACAGGAAGCTTTCAATTCCACATATTATGCAGAATTGCATCCTTAGTTCTCAGCATAATGAACGTAGCTAATACATCCCGTGGTTTCCCAAGTTTTTTTGCTATTCCTGTGCCTATTGCTGTACTACGATCTATACCTAAATATCCTTTTAGTATGTCTTCCCAAAAGCCCACAAGGTCTTTCCTTTCAATATTTTCCGGTAGCCCTTGAAATTTTAAATTAGGCTTTCAACTTTCATTTTACACCTCCAATTTAGCTTCGAGTGAGGCCCATTCAGGAATCCAGTCCTTTAACTCTGCTGCCTCTTTCTCTAAGCTCTGCTCAACAAATTTAATTCTGTCCTCCAGCTGGGCTTGGTTTTTCTCCTAGTTCCTTTGTTAACTGCATACAATCTCCTATTTTTGCCTCTAGTCCCACCATCTTATTCATAATTTAATTAAATATTTATTCTATCTTCCTATCCGTTTCTTCTAGTTTGGATTCCAAGTATTTTCCCCACTTACCATTTCTGTGGCTTATACGTTCTTCTAAACTCTTAAATTCTTTCAGAAAAATTTCCTTTCATAGATTCTAACAGTGAGTTTCCGTATTCTTTTTAGCTAGCATATTCCTGAAATAATCCTTAATTTTTGCTTTTTTCTTAAACATATATCTCACTTAACCAAATTTAAATCCTAGCATTTGAAGACAGAAGGGCGCACACTAGAACATATATCTGAAAAAAGCACTACAATTCACCCACTATTCTAATAAGTGAACATGTTCTTAATAGAACAAATCACACACAATCCAGTAATAACTCAGTGAGGTGGATGGACTATAAGCAGTTCCTACCCAGTGGGTATGTTATATCTATACTAAACATTCAGTGATTCGAGAAGACTATAAATGAAAAGTACCAAAGGGGCAATAAATCGTTAACCAAATAACCATTTAGTAATACACAGAGGCTATAAAGATTGTAAGGAAGAAGTGTTGGTTCCGCCATTCTTCTCTCCTCCTTGCAGAAGGTGGCAGGGTTCTCTCAGAGCTGACGAAGTCAGGAGCCAGGTGCTCAGGGCTCTGCCGAAACAAGGGTGGCAACCAATGTTCCCTCTAAGCTGTAGAGTCTTGTGAGCCAACATTCTACTTTGTGAGCTACTGGCATTAAAGTTGTGAGCAAGCGACTTGGCTACTGCATGAATCAGTTTGCTCTGGAGCCATCCTTCCTGGGCTAAGGCAAAAATGTGTGAGCCAGAGGCTAAAAAACTGTGAGCTAGCTCACACCAACTCAGCTTAGAGGGAACACTGTGGCTCACACATTTTTGTCTTAGCTCAGGAAGGATGGCTCCAGAGCAAACTAATTTATGCAGTAGCCAAATCACTCGCTCACAGCTTTAATGCAAATAGCTCACAAAGTAGAAATTTTGCTCACAAAACTCCATAGCTAAGAGGGAACATTGGTGGCAACTACCACCCTTCCCTTCCTTGCAAGTCTTTTCTCAATATTTTATGTCAATTAATAAATGTGATATGTAGAGTCTCAGGAATTAATGGAATAAGGAAGTGGATTGCCCTATTTTGCCAAAACAATGGGATATGGCCTTAAAGTTTATACCTGCTTTCCATGGATTTTAAGTTGTGACATCAAGTCACAGCCAATTCATGGCAACCCCATAGGGTTTTAAAGGCAAGAGACATTTAGGGGCAATTTGCCCTGGTATTCCTTGGTGGTCTCCCATCCAAAAAGTAACCAAGGCCAACCCTACTTAGTTTCTGAGATCTGATGCGATCAGGCTAGCGACTTATTCAGCAACAGATTATGTTTAGGATATATTGGGCACCACAGTGACTCTGTAGCAAAGGACTGAGTAAAGTGCCTAACTGTTGGTGTTGTCTGAGTCCAATGGCCCTCACATTGTAACTCACAGAACGCGTCCCTTAAAAATATGGTGTGTGTGTGCCCGCTCATTCAGTTTTTCCTGGGAAGACGTTATTACTCATATTTTTGTATTAGAATGTTAATTGTTTTTTGAGGATGCTTATGTACTTTTAAACTATCTGCCCACCTCTTGGAGGCTAACCAATGGTCCACAAAAATGGACCTTCCGTGCCCTTACTACAGCTAAAAGACACGTATTACAACATTAGAATGATAAATGCCTACCTCCAGCAAATCGATGAACTGAGGACCTTAGAACTCTGTTAACATTTGAATGTATGGCATATAGATGACAGTGTATGGTCTTTTAGATATTTGGAAACCTTTTTTAGAAACTTATGTGCAGATCTGACACTACTGTTATATTTTTGTATCTATTTTATGTATCCTCTCCCTTTAAAAAAACCTCTATTTTGTTGCTGGATTTTGAGTCCCCCCCTTTTTTCCTGTTTTCCTGGGTTTTTAAAAAGAAAGTTATGTGAATGGGGAGAATTGGCTTCATGTCCTTTATTTTAAGGTTCTGTTTGCATGTGTCCTGAGTATGCAACAGTAACTTGACAAGTTATCTTACCTCAGACTTTTATGAACAGGGTACATTCCAAATTGTTAAATAGTCTTAGATCAGTGTCATTATAGAGACATCTCATGAAATGTGCCTCTAGGTCTACCAAATTTGGCATTGCAAAACTAGGTCATATCACCTAAATGGCTCCAACAGAAGTATTTACATAATAAGCTACAATGTTCCAAGTGGTATTACAACTGTTCTCATTCATAAAAACATGGTTTTGTTCTCTTTTGCTACTTCATAGTTTCAGTAATGCCTTCAGTTCTACATGTAAGTTAACAAAAACTTACATTGGACCTACCATAAAGTTTTACAGTCAAGCAAAATAAAGATGAAAAAGGGTTCCCATCAAATCTGGTTCTTGCCAATGGTTGGCTTAAGAACTATTCCATAAGCAAGAAATCTTGTGGCATCTTCAGTCTAATAGTTTTTTTTATTCTAGCATAAGAAAAAAATGCTAGAGTTTTCTTAGTCTTCAAAAACTTCTTGAATTTTAAGATATAATCAGACTTTTTAATTTGTTTGGCTACTTATCCCATTTATATGAGTGCAGAAAATGTGTGATAAGCTCTTTTAGTTGTCTTTGTAGTAAATTCCACCAAGCAACAAAACAAGAAGTTATGAAATACTAATCAGATAACTAAAAAAGCAAGAGAAAAACAATAGTCTCCTTAATTGTCAGTGATATCATGCAGCGAATATGATCCTTGAGCTTCTCCTGCTAGCTAAACCTGACTGAAATGCTTTATAGATTTTGTCATGATAGGCTGCATAATACTGTAAGAAAAATGCATTGGTTCAGGATCAGTTTCAAGACTTTGCTTGCCAGTTTAAATTTAGTAATTACTATTCTACAGTGATTTGGTTACAAGAATTACACACAATACTGTTAATAAAATAACAAGTTTATATTTTTCAATGACCTTAAACTAAATTCTAAAGCTACATCAAAGTATTAATATATAAGTAAAAGCACACTGATGAGAGTATCTATTTTAGTATTGTAAAAATGTATTCTAATTTTAATATCCTCTTTGTTCATATTTTTTGTGCCTTCCCTAAAGCTAGGTATTTTTAATGAACAAAGACAACATTCCAAATTTAGTGAGGTAACTCCTCATTATAATACTGTCTCTGTGTATTCCCCCCTTTGGATTTCCACTTATAACAGAAGACAGCAGAACTTTAGTTTTCCTAAGATTTTTTAAGGAGGAGTCTGTTTTAATTTCCAACATATCCAGTTGAAGTACAGTTTATAGTAAAATCTGGATATAAATTGAATGAAACCAGAACTGATGATCAAAAATTAAATGTAATGTCTAGTTTCTATCATACACTTTGGGAAAAGAATATAAGATTCCAAAGGTATGTAACCTTATAAGATTCCTAAGGTATTTGTCATCGCATAAAACACTTATTTATACTGAATTATGTCCCTCTGATTAATATGACATTAAATGTATTTACAGTGGTGCTGTTTCCCAGCCAGCCACCAATATGGCAACGCCTTGGAGTGACACTGGCACAAGCTGCTGGACTAGTGAGGAAAGGGGCAGATCCAGGGGCATGGCAGGATTTGGTTGGCTCCCTAACTTGCCCAAGCCTAGAACACCCCTCCAAACCAGTGGAAATTTATGCTGTCAAAAAGCATGGTGTAGAACATAGGAACCCATGAAACAGTAAAGACTGAGCCCCCCCCCAGACATGCCCCCCCCAAGCCCTGGTGGAGCACAAGGTGCTGACTACAGCTGCTGTTGGCCCCTAAATGCTATTTTCCCAAGAAGAACAGTGACTACATTGGTACATCAAGGGATGCCGGCTTGATTTTGAAGATATAAGACCACCAATTTATTTACCTGCTGGAGTACAGAGAGGCAGGGGTCATTTGGGGGGGGGAACCGGGGAGGACGCCATCCCCCCGGGTGAGGTGTGGGAGGGCGGGGCCTGGAGCTCCCTGCTGGTGCCCGCTGGAGGTCGCCGCTGGCTGTGGGGAGGACACACTTCCGGTGATGTCAGGGGGTGTGGCATATGCTAATAAGTTATGCTAATGAGCCCCCCTAGCTCTTTTTCTACGAAATGACCCCTGCAGAGAGGTAACTGTAATCCCTGAGAAGTCGCAGCGTTGGAATCTTCGTTCATTTGTCTAGAAAACAAAGCAGATTTCTGTCGTTATCTGTACAGATTAAAAAGCCCTTGGTAGGGGATACCATATCCTTTTACGTGCAAACAGATTCTGTACTTCTCTGGGAAGCTATAACACTAACTTTTTATTTTGACAGAATGGGTCAACGTAGTGAACAGTCTTCTGGCAAAATGTAACATAGACCTACATGTTACTGATCTCTTTGACTGCGGAGCTAAAGTGTTTATTTCTCTTTATGAGTCAGTGCTGGGAGAGAAAGTTCCGGGTAAGACTGCTTGCATGATGCAATGTCTTGGTTGTTTAGGGCATTAAAAAAAATCTGTATATGTGCTTGTACAATATATTGCAGAGGGATAACTGTGTCTTGTAGCAGCTTCATAGGCTAACAGAATTATTGTGACATGATTTAGTGGGCTCTAGTCTATGAAAGCTTGTTCCATTTTGTTTTGTTGAAGGTCCAATATAAGACTCCTTTTTGTATAGCAACTGTATAGGACTGCAGTTTTGTATAGGACTGCAGTTGGGCATAAATGAGCAACATAATTCTAATTCCAAGGATTTTTTGTAATAACATTCCTAAAAACTATTTGCATTTTAAAAGCCCAGTTATTTAATTAAATACGAAGGATGTTACCAGAACTTAAAAATGTCTTTATCCAAGCTAATTTATGTGAAAAGATATTTGCAGACTTGTTTTAACTTGGATAGCATAAGAAGTTGGTATTTTGGGGGGCTCTTAAACTGTGTACTCTCCTGTGTAAAGATAGAATGATGCAGTTCCATTATTTTATAGATTTAATAGCCGAACCTAGATGTCAAGAAGATGATGCTCACAATGTGCAGGCAATCATAGATTCTTTGGCAATGGACTACTTGCAGATCAGCCTGTCACATATAACTGGTGGGTACCCAGAACTTAACATTCAATATCTTGTTGGTTAATGGACAAAATATTCTTGAGGCCCAGCCTTGTGCCTCTTGCTGCTTAGAGTAAATGGGAGTTTGTTTGGCTGAAGCCAGCAAGATTTCGTTTCATTATGTATTAATTTCATTCTGAATCTACAGCATACAGAAAGCTTATGCAACAGTTTTTAAGCCTGTGTTCTTATTCATGGGAGCAAGACCTGTTGAACATCAGAAAAAGCAGGTGAAGTTTCAAGCAGCCAAATGTTTATCCCCAAGTGGCCCCATTACAATCCCTGAAGAATTTTTGCTGCAGCTGCTTTGGAGAAATAAGACTTAAACTGCTTTATGGGTTTTAAAACCACGGCTTTGAAAGCTAAGCTACCAGTTTCAAAGAAAAGCCAGTTATTTTGAATAATTTTGGAAATATTGACCTGGCAACTCTGCTGTAGTTACTGACAGCTGCACATGTAAGGTAGTGCTATTTTGGGATGCAGCTTTTACCTCAGGAAACAGTCAAAGCTTTCTGAAGACTACAATGAATTGTTCCCAAGTGGTGATAACTGGCGAGGCAAGATGAATGGTAGACATATGTCAATTCACCATTAGTTGCAAATAGGTGACACCAGGGGTCATTTCGTAGAAAAAGAAGTGCAGGAGCTCATTAGCATAACCCATTAGCATAACTTAGGCTGTGGTCACACAGCCTATATAATCCACTTTCAGTCCACTTCCAATCCACTTTCCAACTGGATCTTGCCAGTTCACACAGTAAAATCCAGTTGGAAAGTGCACTGAAAGTGGATTGAAAGTGGATTATTTAGCGTGTGTGAGACCACAGCCATATTTGCATATGCCACACCCCCTGACATCACTGGAAGTGTGTCAGAAGGCAGCACCCACCGCTCAGGCTCTACTGGACTGTTTTGGATTGCTAGCTATTGGGGGGGGGGGAACTTGCAGATCTGTCCTTGCAGAGGAGGGGGACCTTGTACCTGAATAAAACTTGGTCTTAAAGGTGCCACTGGACTGTTTTGGACCAGGGGGCCGGAGGGGCTCTGCAACTTACCTGGCTGCTTCTTGCTGTGATTGAGGACTGCTGGGAGCAGGGGGTGGGGCTTGTTGCATGTGCCCGCCCCCTGGGCTCTTTACTGCCGGAGCTCTGCTCCTGTGCGCTCCTGCAGAAAATGACCCCTGGGTGACACCTACTCTGATTGTAGCTCTCATTCTTTTGTCTGCATTTCAATTTCATTTGTGCTTGAATAGACTGAGACCTTGTAATAATACCCCCCTCCTCTGTGTGTGTGTGTGTGTTTATCTGCCAACTAAAGGTAACATTGATTCCGGCGTACAATATCTTATACAATAATAATGTAGTTCGTTTTTAAGATACTACAATATTCATTGCCCTCCCTTCTGTTTCACTTCTGCTCCTTCTCTTGTATTGCATAACTCTCCTCATTTGTCCCTATCCCGCCCACTCCAAAAGCACAAAGAAACTAAGAATCTAGATATTTGGCTTATTGCAGTCTATGCAGCTTTTTGCACATGAGTCCTTATTTGGTTTAGAGACGACTAAAGGCCCAGAATGTTCCCAAAGCAAAGGCTGCTACTTTCTGGGGTGAACAGTTTATTTTCTCAAGATGAAGAGGAAATGTCCTTGTTTATATGGAGCAAATTATTTGAGAACTGAGCTAACTGCAGAGTTCAGATAGTTTGTGTATACAAGATCGCCCAGGTGGGTGCAGTAGATAGTGCTCCCCAGTAATATTCAGAGGAGCATCTGCTGAAGCCAGAAACTGGTTCCCAATCCCTCTGATCACTTACTGATCCTTTGCTGTCTGTATCGACATTGTATACTATCTATTGTACCATATTTATAATGAATGACTTAAAGACACTTTCCCCATGGTTCTTATTTACATAGAAAAGCCACCTTTAACTCAGCGTGTTTGATAGCAGTTGATTCAATTTTTCAGAGATTGTAAATATAGATTTAACACTTTTAAGAGCCTCCATACTAAAAAAAAACAGTCTGGAGGATTTGGAGTGAAACCGCCTGTGATATGTCTTCACTGTTTTCCCTTTGCCAAGCTATTGCATTAATCAGGAATGTTAATTTAAACAGGATTCATTGTATCACTTTAATTGTACCACCTGTTCCAGCCCAGTATGTCACTATTATTTTATCTTCTTTGCCAAGATATTAACAAAGCTTTCTATTCAGGTGAGAACATTGTGAAAGGAGATAGAGAGTCCATTAGAAATCTCTTGGAAATATTTGATGGCTTGTTTGAGTACCTTACAGAAGAAATCAGTGAGACTGCTTCTGAGGGTGGCACAGAGTGGAAAAATACAGCAAATGGTATGTCCCGTAGGGATACAGTGTGTTGGATTTAATTACTCCCTTCTGTTAAATGAGGAGGCCTCCTTGGACAGAAGGACTCAACACTTAGTGGAAGGAAGTAATTGGATCCAAGGCTGTGTCCCGTTTTTATTTACTTTAAAGGAATGTGGATCTTTCTGCACCTAGGGGCTGGAGGAGGTGAGGACTGTTGCTAAAAAGAAAAGTACATTAAACCACACATTTAGTCCCGGTCACCCATGGCATCACAAATGGTGAGGATTTGTACTGGTTCCAAAATGCAGTTGGAAGGGGAAAGTAGAATTGCATGTTACAAAGAGCTGCCCTAGACAGCAGCCCTGTTCAATTTCTTCCCTTCCCCCCTACACTTGTTTACTCTGTATTGTAACGTCACAATATTAATTTCCCCAGTGATGTGATGCAAAGAAACACACAACATCACGACATCACAATTGGGGCAGAACTTAACATTTGTGGAGCAAGAGGGGATGGAGCTTGACAAGTCTGTTCTTTGCAATGTGTGGTTCTGTCCTCAGTCAGGGCTTTGAGAGGAGAATTCTCTAGAGCCCCTAGAACAGCCTGAGGATGCCCAATACTGCTGTGCTATTAAAACTGAACAGGAGTTAGCCTGGTATCAGTGCCTGAGTGGGAGACTGTATGTGACTTCAATATAAGTTGTTTTGAATTTTTTGAAGGAGCACCACAATCTAAAGTTAACAAAGATGTGAAACAGCTACCAGAAATGCCTCTCTGTATGTTCTTCTGATTGCATAATGCTGTGGTAGAAACTGAACAAAAAGACTTGTGCTTCATTTGGTGCTATTTTGCTGTTTAAAAGACGACATGGTTCTTATCACACGTGATGTTCCTCCATTGCATTTATTTAAAACATTTGTAAGCCTACCATTCTCCCAGGAAACTGGGACCCAAGCAACAGATAGCAACAACAATAAAAACCAATACATCATAAAAACACCAAGAACAACCATTTCAATAGCCAGCCATTTCTCTCATTAGTAACTGTGACCGCAGTCCACACATACAGAACTCTCTCCAAGTAAGGCTATTATGAAAGAATAGATTGTGAATGCAACCTTTATCCTTTTGGTTGACTCTTTGTTGAATTTCTTTAGGTAAAAATATATATATGGCACTAGAAAGCCATGTAGAAATATGAGTCATTGAAATGACTTGCCTTCAGTTATTTAAAAATTGTGTAGGACTTACATAAACTTTCCTCAAATACTAATAATATAAAAACACACCTATAAAATGAAGCAGTAAAAACAGTCTGAATCCCACCAGGTGCTTGCCTAAGCAAAAATACCTTTTAAAATATTTGCAAGATCCAGGGCACTTAGGGTTTTATACTGTCTCAAACTATATTGCAGAACTAGCAGTGGAGTCTGCAAATTTTTCCCAATGTGGTCTGAGTATTCCCAGAAGAACTGACCTGGTGTCAACGGAGCAGGTTTACATTAAAGTCTAGAACTTCCGTACATATTCTGAAGTATTTCAGAAGTAGATTCAGGGGAGCAGCTGTGCTGACTGGCTCCAAAATGGAAAACATGGTGTATCCAATTTTTGTCCAACTGAACATGGTGTATCCAGTTTTTGATTTTGTCTCCCTTTAATATTGCTGGTTCTAACTGTGAGCTTAGAACATTAATCTGATGTTCCCTTTTAATAGACATTTCTTCTAGCAGAAATTATTTCCTAAAAGTATACATTATTTTTTATGAACAAGCAATATTCAAAATGTTAACCAACAGCTGGCTTTAAAGGTAATCTGACTTGTCATGTAAAAGCTGAAGGTGCTGATACAAAATGATGATCCTGAAACTGACTTTATGACTCCTTCTTATGTAAATCGATCATGGAATATATAAGCCACTGTTCCAGTACAACATGAAGCAGTAACATTGTATAGGTATTAGTCATATGCTGGCAGGTATGCGCACATGTACAGAACAAAGGTGATATTTAATTACTGTGTTTGTGGCAGGCAGAGGTCTGCATAGTTCATAATAATGTCTGCTTGTAAACAGGTACTGTTAACCTGATGGCTCAAGATGAGATCCGAAGTGTTGGTCTGGAAGAAGTAGAAGGTGGCAGTGCTGTGCCCTTTCCCCCCAAAAAACTACCATCTGTGATGGGGTAAGGTTGTAACTCCATTAAATATGATTAGAATCAAGCTGAACACATGTGTTGGACTGTAGCCTCCCTAAGTAACCCAGTTTCCGCAAATGTAGTCAAAAATCACACAAAGTTTAGATGTTTTAAAATTTCACAGCTGAAAAATTAATCTTGGCAAAAATCAAACTGCAGTAGTTATCACAAAATTAGATCTAATTGTATTTCATACAATGAAGCAGCTGAAATGTTAATCTATATATCTAATTCCCAACTTGCCCCCTCCGTGCGGATACTTAAATCAGCACGGAGGGGGCAGCTGGGAGGCTGGGGGAGGTTTGTGCACACGTGGGCCAGTCCCCACGTGTGCACAAAAATAAAAAAAGTTTAAAAAAAATTCGAGGGGATGTTAAAATCCCCCCGAAAGTGCAAGAGCGAACCCTGCCG